AGTCAAAGCCATCTTGATTATAGTTCTCAATTGACCAGTACCAGACTTGGTTAACCCCCATAACTTAACAGAAATAACGGCTTGTGATCCAACATGAGAGCTGTATTTACTGACATGATCTGGCATGCAAGGTGTTTATGATGTTTGCAGTATATCTACATAGAAAAGTCACACATCCTCATTAAGCCCATCTTGCTTATTCATCATGGCCATCAGTTATGCTCTGTAAAGCCCAGCTAAAGATACAGGCACAGCTGGTACTTCCATCAATCCTTCCAGTGAGAGGAAAACACCTAGATGTACTCTGGAAGGATGGCTGTGCAGGAGGTATAAATAGATTTTGGCTTTCCATGGTGGAGTTCTGAGAATACAGACCACAGGGGAAACACATCTAGTTAAAACTAGGAAACACATATCTTTAGAAATTGGTTTGTTAAGCCAAAGGGCATGAGACGGAACAGGTGCATGACTGAAACTGGACTCAAAGCCTTCTGTCCTTGAGCACCCGGATGCAAATTAAACCTGTGTGCATTGACAGCAAAGATCTGAAAGCAATTACAAAGTTCCTGTGAGTGGGAACCCTAGGCCATGCTGGCTAAGGAACTGTGGGAGTATAGTCCAGGAAAGTAGTTTTTCCAAGCCCTGATTCCAACATAGAGTGTTCCCTTGCTACTTCAGGGTTCGCTTTTTGCGGACTCGCTGTTTCGCAGGTTTTTGCTTCCTGGCAACAATGGAGTGTAGAAGGGGGTTTCACCTTCCCCCTCAGGAGAGAGGCAGCCAATCATAAAAAGAGAGAGAGGAGATACAAAACAGTACGTCAATATATAAGGAAGGGCCTTATAGCCCCTTCCTTATAGCTAGCAAAAAAAAAAAAGTGTGTGGTGCCTTTAAATCTCTCCTCGCTTCTGTCTCACCCTCAGAATGCGACATTCTTCATGGATTTTCACTTTTATGGGTGGTCCTGGAACATAACACCCGCGATAAGTGAAGGAACAATTTACTTTGACAGACTGTATTGATTCATTCTTTCCCCGAAGAGTTACACAAGCAAAATGGGTTTCACCTGAAGTTTTTTTTTTTGTTGTTAAGAAAACCTAATGGGCTAATAATACATTCCTGGACCAGATAGTGAGGGTATGCTTTTGATGGCCTCCATGGTTAGAGACCAGAAGGCTTTTTGCATGGTGCAGGGGCATCACAATGCAGCAGATGGTAGGGCGGGGTGGTAGATGATTGAACACCTGGTTATGTCCTTCATGTGTATCTTTGGATTGTCGCAACATGGTCTTCCTTCTTACCCTCAGTACAGTATGAATTTACTGGTCACTTCAAGGTCGGGTAGGAATTTTCTCATCTTTATCTGAGAATCTTTGCCTATCCCATACTTATCCAAGGAATCTTGATATCTGGTTCAAGGTGGTGTCTTTAAAAAGATTGTCATTTGATAGGTGGAAGGGAAGAATTCAAGACTTTGATGTACACATTTACAACTTTTGGTGAAGAACTTATGGCCCAGCAGTGGAGAAGGAGTCTATCTTTGAGGCTGGGCCTGGGGTTTTTCACGTACCTATATGGTTCTTTGAATTGTGTGGGAGTATCCTGCCTTTATCCTGTAGTAATTGGCCAGCTAGGGCACATGCTGAGGAGGTAGTCTAGACCAGTGGTCTCAGTTGGACCCATATCAGATTGCTCTCTCCACTTACTCTTTTCAGGTCAAATTAACTAAAATAGGCTACACAATAAAGTTGTCAATGTTTTGTGTCTGATCTCTTTATTCCGTGGTTGGTCATCAAAGATATTTTCATTTTGACAAGCACAATGTATATGCAGATAGGGCCTGTGTGTGCCATGTTAAGTGAACAAGAATGGGCAGTCCCTCCTGCTATTCCACTAAATATGTGATATGGACCAAATTCAATTTAACTATTAGTATTGTATGCAATGCCCCCTAGTCATACTAAGCTGGGTTCATATGACTTAATGTGACAGAATCTAGGGAGGGAGTGATTTAATGTTTGGAAATGGCTTACATATCATACTCTCACATATATAAATTTTGAGTTTAATATAATAGGATTGCTTGAGAAGGAGAATGGAAAAGCACAGACTGCATGTGAAAGCAATTATCATAACTGTATGAACATAAGCCTACCCAAATGTGAGTGAATGACAACTCTATTGACCTCACACTCTTTTAAGGAACATTTGATATGAAAATGAAACTGATCTCTCAAGGTTCAGAAGGCATTCCCTACATACTTTTAAGGTCACACACACTGTACTTGTGTTTATACGTTGGAAGCCATAAAGTAGAATCCATCTTATTGAATCCGTTTTAGAATTTCCCGTGAGATTGTTTTTACTTTTTATATGCTGAAATATCAATGTGCAATTAGATGCATCATGTCCCATATTTTTATTCCAGGGAATGCCATACATCTTGAAAGGCAGCCCATATTCTTTGCCTCTCTATGGCAAAATTAGAAATCTGTGATCAGTAGTGTATGCTCTTCTTTCTTGATTTATTTCCAGAAATGGAATTAAAGTATGGCTAACAGATGATTTGATATTGATACATTGTAATGGTGATATTTTCAATTATTAATGGCCCATGTTGCATCAACTGTATAGTATGTTTTAAAATCAGAAACAGAGAGCATTAATACATTCCATATCAATTAGACCAGCAAATTGTAACTCCGGCAACAATCCAATAAAACTACAAATACTTCAGGAATAATATTTCTGAGCCCCCTTGCATACAGCTGAATAAAATCCCACATATTCTGCTTTGAATTGGAATATGTGGCAGTGTGGACTCACTGCCATATATTCAAAGTAGATATTGTGGGTTATAAGGCTATGTGGAAGAGCCCTTAATTGGATGGATGGGTGGCAAAGCAGCAAAGAGATTTACTGTAAACAGAAGTGATGTACACAGAGACACAAATTACCGTATATTCCGGCATATAAGACGACTGGGCGTATAAGACGACCCCCAACTTTTCCAGTTAAAATATAGAGTTAAGATGACTCCCATGCATAAGACTACACCTGAGTATAAGACGACCCCTGACTTTTGCGAAGATTTTCTTGGGTTAAAAAGTAGTCTTATACGCCAGAATATACTGTAAATAAAAAAACTGATTCAGAAGTATTCTGAAGATGTAAGATACTGATTAACCAGGAGAAAGGATCCCAAAGCTTTGATTCATGAAATTATTAATTATATGTTTGTTGGATGTGAATATAACCAGTCTTAGGGTAATGGTTATTAGGAAAGTGACTGAATATAACCTGCGTGGTATTGTAGTGTATTTTAATAAATCTGTGGTATGGTCAGATTTGGATAGTTTAGTTTACCACAATATATTTGTCAGAAGAGGTACAACTGAAAAAAGATATAAAAATGGACAAATCAAAATGATTTACTATAAAGAAAATTTACAATTTTCAAATATTCCTTGAATTAGAAAAATGATGACTTGAACAGGGTGGAGAGACGTGAAAGCAACGTTCAGTATGATCCATAGCATGGACGAACTGGAGAGAAACAATGTATTTTCTCTGTAAATCTTAAAAAAAGGATGCAGGAATAAGGTGATTAAAATTGTTTTGTGACAGATTCAGTATAAATAAGAGAGAGATAGAGAGAGATATATGGCTTTATAATGGCATAAAATCAAATATAAGGAATTAATGGAATTTACATGAATTGTTAATGGCTTTCACAGCTGGAATCACTGGTTTGTTGTGAGTTTTCCAGGCTGAATGTTTCAGAAGCATTCTCTCCTGAAGTTTTGCCTGCATCTATGGGTTTGCCTGCATCTTTGCCTGCATCTATGAGGCATCCTCAGAGGTTGTGAGGTCTGTTGGAAACTACGCAAATTGGGTTTTATATCTGTGGAATATCCAGGGTGGGAAAAAGAACACTTGTCTGTTTGATGGAAACAGAGTCAAAACAATGAAAACATATGATGAATAGATATGTTGATGTCATTTGGTATTCTTTACACTTCTACATGCCCTCTGAGTTCAGTGGCATTCTTCACAGTAGCTGTGGTGTAGGGGTTGATTTGCATTCAATAATGTATTGTTAAGAGCTATTCCTTTTGTCATACAATGTTTGAATGTAGGTGACTTGATATCTCATCAGATGGGGTGATTTTAGTGTACTAGGATGCTTTCACCACATCTGGGGAATGGAGACCGATCTCACACAACACGTGATATTGTGTGACATTCAGCTGAGGCCCTGCCCCCAACTGGGGTAAAAACATCGCCGGACACTTCCACCTCAACACTTCCTGTGTTGTGCTGGCTCCAGCACAGGGCCTCCCCTGTAAGGGCAACACTTTACCCATCAAATGCGGAAAGTGTTGCAGAGAGAGAGAGCTGCGCATGGGACAACAGATTTGTCCCGCTGCTCCCACTTTCTTTGTGGCAGCTCAGCAAAGTGGGATGCTTTACTTGGGCTTTCTGATGCAGTCATCAGTCTTGAATAGAAAATTAAAATTCATTTTACAAAAGACCCATTTATGGTGGACATAATGTTTAGAACAAACATGATATGGATCAACACAGTTGTCTACATTTTTTAACCATTTCTGGAGGTGTGATAGTGAGGCTTAACATGCTTTTCGTTATAACACTTCACAATATACTACTGTACCAATACATTGATCCTCAGTGTGGGAAAGAGCCTGACACATGCAGAAGGAGCGATTTAACTCACATATGGAGATAATGCAGGGCTGACCCTGCTGTGGTGTCCTGAGTCGTCTTCACAAATCATAGAAGACAGAGGAGGATCTGAAATTGCTCAAGATATGGTCTGGCTATTACAACAAGCTAAAATGTGTGAATTGTTCTTCACAGCCTATATATTATTCAGTCACAGAGTCAACTTAAATTAATATCCATATTGCTGTACAGTAATTCTTTCTTATTAAGACGTAACAGTCACTGGTTACATTGGATGAGCAGAATGTCAGTCTTACCTTACATGTGGTGTTGGGTTTCCAGCAACTCTGCACTCAAGCACCACCTTGCTTCCTTCCGCAACTTCTTGACTCTTGAGTTTCTGGGTAAATCGAGGTGGTGATGACTGATGGTGACTTTCTTTTGTGACATGATTCATGGCAACACTCTCATTACCTTGAGAGTCTTCCTTGCTTTCCAGCAAAGATTCTCCAGCATCAATGACTCCAGATATCTCATTCTCTGCTGTGACCTCCATGCATGTTTTGTCAGGAGATGGGTTCCTTAAAGAATTGGGTATGGTCGATTGTTTGTTTTTAGGGGAAAGGTATCCACTGTCTGGAGAAGAAGAATTTCCATCTGGACTTCTAACTCTTGTCTTGGCTGCTTCTCGAAAGATGGAAGAGAGCTCCTCAATCAAAGTAGCTGCTTTGTCACATAGTTTGTTTTTGAAGGGAACATCATCTGCTGATGCAGGTTTGCATTTTGAGCTCATCTTCTGCACACTTGGATCACATCTTTCAGCATTTTTCAGACTGCGAATAAAGCTGGGTCTTGCAAGTAGTAGGGGTGATATATTAGATTGTTTCCGAGTTACATTTAATAAATTGTTTGCATCTGGAGGATATGCATTCTGTTTTTTCTGCTCTGGTTGTGCTGAAGTCACCAATGGATTTGGGATGGGTGCCTGAGTTCTCTTGGAGGTGTCTTGTTCTTTGGTATTCCTGGAAGAGTCATCCTCTGGTGAGTTTGGATAAGTGTTGAAGTTATGTGTGAACTCCTGTGTTGCCTTTTTCTCTTCCTGTGCAGAATTTGTAATAGATTTATGAGCAAGTTCAAGGCTTTTGCTTATTTCCTCTTCATTCAGGAAGGCAGAGAGATCATTTGAGAAATCACCATCAGGTATGTCTGACAGGGAATCATAAAATAATTCATAAGATGAGGAATCCTCAGACATGTTTTCATGGCTTCCCGCAGAACTGCTTTTCTCTGAATGGGAAGCTTCTCTCATAATGCAAGATAGGGGTGCAGCTTGAAGCTCACAACTTCTGTCCTGCATACTGGAACATAGTAAAACCAGTTTCAGTAAGGATTGTGAACTTAATGTCTCCTAATGGCTGATCTTTCAAAAATATATTATAAGTTACAAAAATGTAGAAAAATATTATCATCTATACAAATATAGGTAAAAGTATAATTTACATGTTTATAATAAGTTTGACTATTGTAACATCACAGTGTTTGTACTTTTGTATATACAGTCAGCCCTGCACATTTGCTGTGGGGCAGAACACGTGTGATAGTCAAAAATTGTGAATTTTTTAAAATGCTATTTTTATTGTGTTTCCTTGTCTGTTGGCATTAGTTTAATCTCTCTTTCTCTCTCTCTCTCTGCATGTATATATTTGCTATTCTTTTTACCTGAGAAAACATCTCTTGGAATGTCTAAGTTCTCCAGTATAGCTCTATGGTCACCTTTCGTTGGAAGATGAGTACAGAATCACACTGGAAGATCTAGAGATTACTAGAGATAACATTTTAATCAAATCCATAAATAATCCAATCTCAAAGTTGAAACTATAAATGCAGAGTGATGATTATAATTAAAACTATGTTAGAATTAATGCTTTTTGCATGCCTATCTTTGCTGACTGTTACTTTGCATGTTACTTTGTGATCTAAGCATAAGATATAATTTTTGGTGGATTCCTGTTTGGTTTGATTTGGTTTACCATTCTCATACTTCAAGCACCAGTAAAACTATTTTATTTTTCCCGTTCTGTCCTCCATTAGGCCCTGTATTTGATTATAGCAAAGTATTGTAAGTAAAATTATGCTTGTTTTATGAAGAAGACAGGTACTGCATGTAAACTTATTTTATATATTTTACAGAGAAGACTGATTACTTTATCACACTAGAGAATGAATCCACTTTAAATCTGGTTGCTACCACCTGGGGTTTGTAGTTTAGGGAGGAGCCTTTAACAGCCTCACTAAACTACAAACCCCAGAATTCTGCAGGAGGCAGAAACTGGATTTAAAGTGGATTCATTCTCTAGTGTGATGATGAGGTCTGAGCTTGCTTTATTTTCTTTGCTAAACCCTGAATGGTTATGTGTGGGACTGCTTGCAGTTCAGTTATTTTCTGTTTAGTTGGCTTATTCTCCTTAACAGATCCACTATTTTCTCTCACATTTCCCAACACAGACTCACTGACCAAAATCATCTATTTCAGACAAGCAAACATAATGATATACTATTTACATGAAAAAGAAAAGTCAATTCTGTTTTGTGCTCTGTCATAAATCAAAATGGAGATTGCAGTCTAGAAATTATAAGAAGTTTAGGACTTGGAAGGACAGTTAGGAAAGAATTAGACATGATCCACAAGCACAAAGGTAATATCACCAAATACCAAGGTCAGGACTGTCTACGCCATAGTATATCTGATCTCTATGTATGGTTGTGAAAGTAGACAGTGAAGAAAGTGAAGAAAATAAATTCATTTGAAATGTGAGCTAGAATACAGTCCTCTGGAAACTAAGGAAGGGCAAAAAGACAAATCCATAGGTTGTAGAGCAGATCAAGCCTGAACTCTCCCTAGAAACCAAAATGACTAAACTGGAATTGTCATGCTTTGGATATATCATGAGAAGACATGACCTGTTAGAAAAAAATAATGCTTAGTAAGATAGAAAGCAGAAGGAAAATAGGAAGACCCCACATAGGTGGATAAACTCCGTCAAAGAAGCCACAGCTCTGTTTGCAAAACCTGAGCAAGGCTATTGAAAACAAGAAGTCTTTTTGGAGGTCTCTCATTCATGGGAATCACATAGAGTCAAAGATGACTTGGTGGCAATTAACAACAAGAAAGCCATGATATAATTTTCAAGACAGTCTTGCAGCATAAAAAGGAGGAAGAATAATGCTTAGTAAGCCATCTGAACATGACATGTTCAGTACAAGCAACTAGGGATAGCCAATGGCTTCATGTACTGCATGACTTGGAAGAGCATACAATATCTCTAACTGATAGAGTAAAAGCTGTAGAAGCATACAAGCCATGTAATACATCTTTCCCCAAATGCCTTTCACATACATTTTGGTAGAGAGAAGGTCACCTGCAAACAGTGTTATAATTCTGTTTTAGAAGTATATTAAAAATTCAGTGTTTTGCAAAAATTATGGCATTTTCTTTGGAACCCTTTGTAGATCAAAAATAATACAATTTCTTTTTAATACCAGCAATTTCAGTAAACACACCCACCCTATCAACTCATTAAATAGCAACTTTATCAGTACTGGTTGCTCAACTTAATTCTGGAGTTACCAGAGGATGTTGGTTGGTTCCATGTCAAGGGCAAGATGTGAGATGAAGCCACTCTGAATTTAAGTTAAAACTTTAAAAGATCTGAGTCGCCCTCGGGCTGAGAAAGGCAGTATATAAATATGGTTAATAAATAAATAAAAAATAAATATTGAAGGTGCTTGGATCTCATTCCCAAAATAACTTCATCACCATGGATAGTTTCTTTCAGGTTCAAACTAATGCCCAGAGCAGAATCACCACCTAAGGACATTGGAGTCACAGGTGTTAACTTGAAGTTGCCTTTCGCCATGTGCTATATTACTTTTCTTCTGTGATTGATGCATGGCCTGACAGTCCTGAGATGCAATCGGATGTATTTTACATTGACTTGTCCAAGCTCTAGTTACATTTACCTACTCCTTTGGGAGCTTATCTTGCATGAACCTTTTAACTGACTGGTAAAGTGCTTGAGCCCTTGGACTGGCATAGCCACCTTATTTTCTCTTCTCTTTTTCAGAAGAGATAGGGCTGTTAATTGAGTATCACAAAGAGCCAATTAGAAAACTGAATTAAGAAATTGAACAGTTTGCCTCCCATTTTTCTTAGAATTAGATTTTTTTAAAAAAAATTTACATCACATTCTATTCTTCCTTATTAATCAGTTTGCATGAAAAAACGACAATATCAAGTTACCATTACATGCTAGGAACTTAACGGGAGCACCCTTTGCACTACACATTTATTGTACTTTGATACCCCTGGTGGCGCAGTGGGTTAAAGCGCTGAGCTGCTGAGCTTGTTGATCAAAAGGTCACAGGTTCGAATTCGGGGAGCGGCGTGAGCTTCCACTGTCAGCCCCAGCTTCTGCCAACCTAGCAGTTTGAAAACATGCAAATGTGAGTAAATCAATAGGTACCGCTCCGGCGGGAAGGTAACGGTGCTCCATGCAGTCATGCCGGCCACATGACCTTGGATGTGTCTACTGACAACTCCGGCTCTTCGACTTAGAAATGGAGATTAGCACCACATCCCAGAGTCGGACACGACTGGACTTAATGTCAGGGGAAACCCTTTATCTTTACCTTTACTACCACTCTAATCACCATGGCAACATCCGGTGGAATAATGTGAATTTTAGTTTAGGGAGGGTATTTAGAACTCTCACCCAGAGAGTCATAGTGGCTATTCAGACTAAAAATCTGCAAGACACTATAGGATATAGTTATTTTTTATTTTATTTATTTGGGGCATTTCTATACCACCTTTCTCAGAAGACACAAGGCAGTTTACAGCAGCAATTACACACAAATATAAAAATAACCATCAAATAAATCCCCCACTATCCGAATGGATATAACACTATCATTAAATAAAAGCTGTAAAATTTCCAAGGAACTAAAATGATAAATACAGTTAAAATGATTAAAATGTGGCTCCAGGCTCCTGTCAACATTAATTAAAAGCTGTTTCACACAGGAAGGTTTTGAGGTTCTTCTGAAACAACAGAAGGGTTGGGGCTGCCCTGATTGATACTGGCAAAGCATTGCAGAGTTTAAGTGCCACACCCATAAAGGAGTCTTTATAGACCACCGCCTCCCCGTCCCTCTAATCTGGCTGGTGCTGGATGGTGTAACCTGGAGGACAAAGCTGAGTAAGATTAACTCCCACCCCAGCCTCGTCCAACCAGGTCTCCATTATGCACACCAGGTCTGCCTGTTCATCCAGAATTAAGTCATGGATTGCTGTTGTTTTCCCATTGACAGACCCGGCGTTCAACAGCAGCACCCTTAATCTAGAGGGACCACCATCCAGGGTACACAGTTTAACCATGTCAGGAATTCATTTTGGAATTTTTAGTATTTTTTCCTGAATTGTTGGTTAAATTAGTTGTTTAGGTCTCCTTTTCCTGTATCTCCATCTCCCCATCATTACTTCTATGGTGGTACCTCGACTGCCGGAACTCCCCCCAACTCCTTCCAGCCCTCTTCCCCCACCCTCGTCCCGTGGCTCTGATATTAAAAATTGATATAATAGATTAATATCAATAGTTGATAACATTTCTCTACCTCTAATTCCCACAACCCCATTTACACTTCTCCCCTCCAGCCTCCCACCACCCCCTTGATAATAACAAAGTGCAAGGTGTAAATAAAGTGCAAATTGCAGATCTAAAGTGCCAAAGGTTCAATAGCAACATGGGTAATATATGTATACATGCTAGAGGATAAAGTGTTTGTTGGTCTAATAAATGAGTTAGTACAGAATCTTAAACTATCTTTATAGCTATCTTTATATAGCACTAAATGAAACATGTAGAATAATCATAGGATGCCTTAAACCTACACCTGCTGATAGACTCTATAAGCTAGCTGGCATAGTCCCCCTGATGTGCTATGGGAAGTTGCTGCCAATTGCAAGAGAAATAAGGCTGAACTCTATGAAAGCCACCCACTGTATGGCCATCAGCCTCCTCCCAATAGGGAGGGAAAAGGAAAAGTTTCATGAGGACCACCACACCTCTAAACGTTCCTCCAGCAACAACAGCAAGAATATCTATGTGTAGCAAGAATGGGCAACTTGCAAGTCCCTGAACAGACTCAGAAGCAGAGTGGGCAGATCAAAAGACAACCTGGCCAAATGGCACTACCAAAAAGAATCCTCCACCTTGTGTGATTGTGGCACAGAATGAACAACTGGCAAAGGGTACCGACCAGAACAGAAGAGAAGAAAATATAAATCAGTAAAAGATTTATGAACCTTCAGCCACATTAAAACTGGGTTGCAATCACTGTGCACTGCTCATGTAAAACATAGCAGCTCAATTATATCTTTGTTGCAAATTAAAGGAAGAATACGTCTTCATGCAGATCTAGAAATCAGCTAATCTAATTGCAGGAGCCTAAAAATAGGCATTTGGGCAAATATTTTGGCCTCTGGCAGCATAGCTAGATTACTCAAAGGTGCAACATTTCTTTAGGTAAAGGTAAAGGTTTCCCCCTGACATTAAGTCCAGTCGCCTCCGACTCTGGGGTGTGGTGCTCATCTCAATTTCTAAGCCGAACAACCGGCATTGTCCAGAGACACCTCCAAGGTCATGTGGCCAGCATGACTGCATGGAGCGCCGTTACCTTCCTGCTGGAGCGATACCTATTGATCTACTCACATTTGCATGTTTTCAAACTGCTAGGTCAGCAGAAGCTGGGGCTAGCAGCAGGAGCTCCCCCTCGCTCCCCAGATTCGAGCTTGCCTGCAAACTTTCGGTCAACAAGCTCAGCAGTTCAGAGGTTTAACCCACTGCGCCACTGGGGGCTCGAGAAACTAAACATTTCTTTAGTTAAGAAAAAAAGGGCAAGTTTATATTTTGATAACAGTAGTTTGTTTCATCAGCTATTTTTATGCTTGGAAGTTTAATCACATTTTCAGCGGAATTAACTTCAAATCATGAAGTCATAAAGGTGGTATCTGAGCACACTCAGTTTATTTCAGTGGGGTTTCAGTACAATTTTGGATCAGGGTCAGCATGCGTAATGTACAATGTCATCCAGGAAATCCAGTTTTCCTTTGCCAGGACTCTGCCTCTTTTAACCATTGCTAATCTAGTTAACATAACACTTGAACCCTATCAAATAGCCTACAGGATCATAATTAGAACTAGCCCTTGAGCTATTCCTAGGCTCTTCTGATTAGACAGCGGTATATTTATAAATGCTTTTCTCATCTCCCCAACAACTTTAATAGTGATAGCAAAACAATGTATTATAGAGTTTAAAAAATACAACTGATTTATTGCATGCTCTTTTTTTGCTTCTTTGCAAAATTCTTAGATCTGAATGCAGTATTTTACAAAAAGAAATCAACATGTAATGCAGAAACTTTAGACAATACACTGAGATATAGTCTGATACACACACACACACACACACATATGCAATTTTTGAGCAATAGTCAGTCAAATGAAGTTGCAAAATAAAAAACAAATACAGTGCTGAGCTCCGTTAAAGTGCTACTGTAGTTCTGGGTTTCTTGGTGCAGTTAAAAACACATATACAATGAATTAAAATACATCCTATTCATTATGATGATGTAAGTTTTAAAAAATAAAACATACTGCATGGATATGCTTTTAAAATAAATTACAGTATTAAATAAATACATCTAAATGTGAATCAAAATATAAAGTAATATTTATCAATGGGAATAGTATTAGCTACGCCAAATAGAAAAATAAAGAATCTGAAAGACGTTACAAACCTTTCAATTCTTAAGCCAGTGTGAAGAATTGAATCTAGAATATATTTCAGGCATGGAAACTCTTCCTCCTTTTGTCAAAGAAAACTGGAAGCTGCTATTCATTCACTATTGCTTGGTCCACAGCATGCACTGAGGCAAATGTGGCCTCTGAGTTACATCTGTCTCTCTGTCTATGTAATTCCTACCCTTCCCATCTATATTTGGAAACTGAACTCATGTTTCAGCGGACTGCCACTATCTGGGATTCCAGCAGAATAGGACACATTGGCTCTAGATCAGTGTTTCTCAACCTTCCTAATACTGCGACCCCTTAATACAGTTCCTCATGATGTGGTGACCCTCAACCATAACATTAATTTATTTGCTACTTCATAAATGTAGTTTTGCTACTGTTATGAATCATTATATAAATATGCAGGATGTATTTTCATTCACTGGACCAAATTTGGCACAAATACCTGATACACCCAAATTTGAATACTGGTGGGGTTGGGGGAGGGATTGATTTTGTCATTTGGGAGTTGTAGTTGCTGGGATTTATAGTTCACCTACAATCAAAGAGCATTCTGAATTTCACCAATGAGGTAATTGAACCAAACTTGGCACACGGAACACCCATGACCAACAGAAAATACTGGAAGGGTTTGGTGGGCATTGATCTTGAGTTTTGGAGCTGTAGTTCACCTACATCCAGAAAGCACTTTGGACTCAAACAATGATTGATCTGGACCAAACTTGGCATGAATACTCAATATGCCCAAATGTGAACACTGGTGGAGTTTGGGGAAGATAGACCTTGACATTTGGGAATTGTTGTTGCTGGGATTCATAGTTCACCTACAATCAAAGAGCTTTCTGAACCCCACTAATGATAGAATTGGGCCTAACGTCCAACAATCCCTATGACCAATAGAAAATACTGTGTTTCCTGATGGGTCTTTGGCGACCCCTTTGATACCCCCTCAAGACCCCCCTCCCCAGGGGTTTCAACCCCCAGGTTGAGAAACACTGCTCTAGATGAACAAGCAACTTCACATTTATTCAAGGAACCTTGTTGAGGTCTATGCCAAGTAATCCAGTACATTCTTCTTGCTTTCATTTTTACAATTCAGTATCAGATGTGACAAAACCACATGACAACTGGTGCACCTATAACGTAGAATTAATGCAAAGTCTTTTGCCTTCTCTGCCAAAGAGTGCTGGTGACTCAATAAACTGCCAATCTCATGATCCTATAGCACTGAGCCATGACCGTTAAAGTGGTGTCAAACTGCAACAATTCAACAGTGTAGAACCAGCCCTAGTCTGAAGGAGTATTTTTTGTGGCATCGTTATTGAAAAATAAACTTCTTTAAAATACATTTCAACTTAAAAGTCTATTTCTGAGTCAATTTAGTTGTGAATTAGTCACATCTCTTTTTCTCACTCTTTCTTTTTTGCTATCAAATTGCTTTCTCACAAACCAAATATCGTCAATTTTCAGACTGACAAATTTGTATTTACCCTCAAATTGCCTTCAAGTCGCCTATTGAATTACAGCAATCCCATGAATTTCATTATGTTTAACCTACTATATTTGAGCCTGGCATTATGGAAACCCAATTCCACTTTTAAAAAAACCCTTGAATTTCTGTAAAATCTGAAGTTATATTTATGATTGTATAGAGTACATAGAGCACCAACACATCAGAGGAACAGTGTCAGAAATCTTGTCTGAAAGCGCATATCTAACCCTGATAGATAACTAGGATTCACTTCTATTTCTTAGGCTTCAATCCAATACTCTTTTTTGGGGAATAAATTACACTGAATTCATTGCCAGTTACTATTGAGCACATGTGTGGATTTGTGCTGTTAATTTATTGATCTTCTCTTTCTTTCTCAGGTATATATCTATTTCACACATTGTGGTTTAAACATCATTCCTTCTCCACGGGGAGCTTGGGGAAAGTACCAGAGCTCAGTGGTAGATTGCACACTTTGCTTGTGGAGGTTTCCAGGTTATATATCCTTGGCACCTTCAGTCTTCAGGATCGGGTAGCTGATGATGGGGAAGACCTCCTGCTTGAGACCTAAAGAAATCTCGCCAGATGGAAATGAGAAGACTGATATGAGGTCACCCTCAATGCAGCTATGAGAAGTGCACTCTGCATATACATGTCTGGGTTACACATCTCTAACACAGATGCTTAGAAGTATGTGAGGAGAGAGAGATGACATTTCTTGCTAGCTATTTCTTGGAATAGCTTTTAAAACTTCTATAATATTTGATGTTCCCTCAGAAAGTAAATACAACATGATCTTCTCTTTCTTTTCTTATTACAGCTTGGTTGAAGGAAAATATATTAGAATAAAGCTCAGAATTGATCCAGCAACTGAATCAGTAGTTTTTTTGCTTTGTTTTCAAATTTTGTTGAAAGTTATGGATTCCCTCCCCTAAAAAGTCTAGCATACCATGTTCAAAGAAACAATAAGGAAACAAAAGGATTTTGTACCCATCCACTTTTTTGCTACCACTGATGCTTATCCATAGGTGCTGTAAGGCAAAGTCTGTCTTCCACTCACGACCCCTGTTCTCTTGAGAACTTTTTTATGTGAACCTGGGTATATTTATTTATTTATTTATTTATTTACCTTACTTATATACCGCTGTTCTCAGCCCGAAGGCGACTCACAGCGGTTCACAACAAATACGAACAGCAAAAATTCAGTGCTACAGTATAAAAACAGTTAACAACCTAACACATTACACAATTAATAAACAGTTACTACAATACCCATTCACTGTCGTCTCGTCATCAAAAACATGTTCCAGATTCGTCATCCATTGTTCCATTCCAGTGTTCATTAACCAATCATTGCACTAATTATTCGAACGCTGCTCAAACAGCCAGGTCTTCACTTTTTTGCGGAATACCATTAGAGATGGTGCTAGTCTAATGTCCGTAGGAAGGGCGTTCCACAGACGAGGAGCCACCACCGAGAAGGCCCCATCTCTCGTCCCCGCCAGCCGTGCTTGAGAAGCAGGCGGGATCGAGAGCAGGGCCTCCCCGGAAGATCTCAAAGTCCTGGTGGGTTCATAGGCAGAGATGCGGTCGGATAGGTAGCTTGGGCCGGAACCGTTTAGGGCTTTAAAGGCCAACGCCAGCATTTTGAATTGAGCCCGGTAGCAGATCGGTAGCCAGTGGAGTTGGCGCAACAGGGGGGTTGTATGCACATATCTATATAAATAAAAATGTAATGTTTGCTTGTGGGATTAACATATCTCAAAAACCACTGAACAAATTGACACAAAATTTGGACACTACACCCCTATCGGACCAACTAGTGACCATCAATCATAACCCCTCCCCCCCCCCCCCAAAAAAAACAGCGGAAAGGACTTAAAAACCCCAAAAAGCTAAATGAAAATGAAAAACTAAATGACAATACAGAAAAAAGGGAAGGAAAGAGAAAGAAGGGAAGAAAGAAAGGAGAAAGAAGGAAGAAAGAGAAGGAAGAGAGGAAGAAAGAGGAAGGAGAAAGAGGGAAGGAGGAAGGGAAGGAAGAGGAAGGAAGGAAGGAGAAAAGAAAAAGGGGGAGGGAGGAAGGAAAGAGGTAGAGAAGGAAGAAGGAGGAAGAAGGAAGGAAGAAAGAAGGAAAAGGAAAGAAGGAAAGAAAGGAAGAAGGAAGAAGAAGAAAGGAAAGAAGAAAAGAAAGAAGAAAGAAAAGGGAAGGAAGGAAAGAGGGAGGGAAGGAAAAAAGGAGAGAAAGGGAAAGAAAAAGAAAAGGGGGAAGGAAGGAAAGAGGTAGAGAAGGAAGGAGAGAAGGAAAGAAGAAAAGGGAAGGAAGGAAGGAAGGAAGGAAGGAAGGAAGGAAGGAAGGAAGAGGAAGGAAGGAAGGAAGGAGGGAAAGAAGGAGAGAAAGAGAGGGAAGGTTGGCCACAGCAATGCTTGGCGGTACAGCTAGTCTATATAATAAAAATGAAAATATGTATCTATCTGTCTGTCTACTATCTATTTTTGTCTGTTATTTGCCAAGATGACTCCCTCATCCAGAGAGCACTGTATTGAAACAGTTTTTTCATTGATCACACAGGCTAGCAGGTATATAAAATAGGTATACAAATCAAACATGTATTGGTAACAAATCAGGCCTCCTAAACAGGATGATTTTCCTTTTTTATGAAGTACAGCTGAAGGATCTTCTGCTGAACCCACTGTAAATATAAAAAACAGGGTAAATGTAATCTCCAAACATACACATAGCAATAGTTCAGAAGCATTCACAGGTCTCTTGTCTCCCCTTGAGTCAGGTTACTTAAATAATGTTTCCCAACCCCCAGATCTGTGACAAACAAGTGTAAGTTTCAAAGATAAACATACCCTTATTCTCTCCTTATTTCTCCCTGTTATCTTTGTATTGCAGTTTCCCCCTCACCCATTAAAACAAATGTCATGGAGCCATTTGTTCAATTCATCTTAGGTCAGTGTGGAATTTTTCAGATTGCTCAACGTTGGGTGAGAGCACATGCTGCTAATCAATCAATTTTCCAATGAGATTTCAGTAATTAAACCTGTGTCCCCAGAATTAATAATTAATAATTTACCGGGTCCATCTTTGAACTAATCTAGTGTCTAAGTCCAAGTATAAGAGAAGGACTTTATATTCAAAATCTTGTATTCTGAAATACAAGAGGTTTTATAATTCACCAATTTGTGTGTCTGTTTCCTAAGAAACCTGGTGAAAGATATTGTCTTCAAAACTACATATTTGACTTAAAGTGGTTCCTGGTCAATAAAAGGTTGGAAACCACTGATTTAGAGTTTAGGAGCCCTCAGTGGTGCAATGGGTTAAACCCTTGTGCTGGCAGGACTGCTGACCAAAAGGTCAGTGGTTTGAATCCATGTAGTGGGGTGAGCTCCCATCTGTCAACTCCAGCTTCCCATGCGGGGACATGAGAGAAGCCTCCCACAGGATAATAAAACACCCAGGTGTCCCCTGGGAATGTCTTTGCAGATGGCCAAATTCTCTCACACCAGAAGTAACTTGCAGTTTCTCAAGTCACCCCTGACATGAAAAAAAAAACCCACCCAAAAACTTGAAAAAATAAGAGGACTACAGTATAGCTTTTAAAAACTTGCA